TTAGAAAGCGCACCTGAAATGCTACTACTACTACTACTACTCCTACTGAATATAATGATAATAACGAGATAATGATAACGATGATATTTACAGCCACAGTATAAACGGCTTCGATAACCTTACCGCGAATGCTGCCAGAGTGCGGCTGCTCTGGGCTGGCTTTCCAGGCGACTTGCGGCGGCGCCAGTTCTTCGGAGCTTCATTAGGCTTGAGGAATCGTAGGCCTAACCTCACCTGGCCTAAACGATAATCTTCCCTCGGGGAACTTAGCCATATCCCGCAACAACATCTAACGATAAAGTGAATCAGGCCTGATGTCGGGTTGGGGCAGCAAGGGTGAGAAGATTACTGGTTGGATCTTATGCTTATATGAATATATTACAGCAAATACTTTGATTGAAAGTTCAACCCTGTGGCCAAAGGTCACATTTCACTTTGTATACGTATCTTTGTCCTTAGCTGATATTCATAAAAGGCTTACACACACACACACACACACACACACACACACACACACACACACACACACACACACACACACACACACACACACACACATATATATAATATATATATATATATATATATATATATATATATAATATATATATATATATATATATATATATATATATATATATATATATATATATATATATATATATATATATATATATATATATATATATATATATATATATATATATATATATATATATATATATATATATATATATATATATATATATATATATATATATATATATATATATAATATATATATATATATATATATATATATATATATATATATATATATATATATATATATATATATATATATATATATATATATATATATATATATATATATATATATATATATATATATATATATATATATATATATATATATATATATATATATATATATATATATATATATATATATATATATATATATATATATATATATATATATATATATATATATATATATATATATATATATATATATATATATATATTATATATATATATATATATATATATATGAATATATGTGCCTATTAACCTGAAACACTTTTCTCTTGTTTCATAGCGACCATGAATATGAACATTTCTTCCCCTATTTGGAAATAAAAAAAGTAATTTAACTCTCCAGAAATTCTCCTTCAAGCGTAGACTTTCGATTGCAATTCCCATTCTAGGATTCTACCGGGAAACGCATTCCCTCCCGAACTTCTTAGGAAATCGCCTCCTAGAATCCTAGAATCTTGAATCCTACTGTTGAACATCTATCCCCACGGACTATGTATTCTCTCTCCTATCCTCTTCCCTTCTCTTTCTCCCACCAGCCTCACCCTTGCTCTCCCTCCTCCCTCCTCCCTCCTCCACCGCTGCCCCAGTCTGGCACATCCAGCCTCTCGCTCGTCAGTGTGTGGCCAGCTTTAGTGGGGTGAATACGTGCCGTCGCGCTCACTCGTATTATTCGGGCAAATTGACGGGATGTTTAGAGCAAGTGATTGAGATCATGGCCATTGATCAGCCCTTTCTCATGACCTAGTTCGCGTGACCTGACAAGTGATTGAATAAAAATGCTCATTTTCAAAGTGAAGTGGAAGTTGAACATAACCACACTATATTTGATTTAATATAGACCTCGATGTTTTATTAATATTACTAGTCGACGGAAAGATCGTGAGTAAGTCATATGAACATAAAATATTAACAAATTTATGAGTGTAATATAACCTGGTCGCAGTCTCGCAGACTCCTGTGTCGACAAACTCTCGGTATAAGCCGGCACCAAAGGATTAAGGATATTTTTATTTTTTAATATTTTTTTTACCAGCAATGTCTCCAGCTGTGGATAACTCTGTATCCAGCCCCACAGCCTAAGCGTAAATGAGATTACAGTATATACAACAAACAGTGTTGAAGAAAACCGGCTTAATTTCTTTTTGGTTGTGACCAATATCAGACCGAAATCTGCATCTTCATTTTTGTTTTCGATTATTGCCGAACAAAGTGATACAAATCGGAAACCCTTTTTCAATTAAGTACTTAGTCGGCAAGGAAATCAAACAGCCGCCAACCCTGAGGTACTCAAGCGCTGACCCCAGAACAGTTTTTTGAAGAAATTAATATGATTTTTATTTCCAGTCTTACGGGAAGTTCTTGACTGTTGGTTGTTGATATTACTATATAACCAAGATTCAGAAAGGCTGTGATAATAATGGTGGGGCAAAACTGAGTCACATTATAGCAGTAGTTGACGATTGCAATGTTTAAATATGGGGACATTCCGCTCTAGGTAAGAAGTAGAAGAGAAATATAAGTGCAAGAGCTAGACTGATTTGGCCTTTAAAAGATTGGCCCTTTCTGGAAAAGATGAAACGACGCTACAGCTAAACACCTTCTGCTTGAGGTCATGGCGAGGCTTGTGATGCCGAAGAAGTGACGTGTGGTAAGGGAGTAGTAGTTGTAGGCTGTGACA